GTGAGATAGGACTCAAACCAGTGGAGGGAGGTTCCAGTGATGAGAGGGTGGACAGAAGGATCTGATGATTCACAGTGTCGAAGGCAGCAGAAAGATCCAGGAGAATGAGAACTGAAGATTTGGAAGCAGCTTTTACGATCCGCAGGGCTTCTGTGACCGACAGTAGTGCAATCTCGGTTGAATGGCCTTTCTTGAAGCCAGATTGGTTGACATCCAGCTGGTTGGTCAGAGACAGGAAAGATGATACTTGGTTGAAAGCAACTCGTTCAAGTGTTTTCGCAATGAATGGTAGGAGAGAGACAGGTCTGTAATTCTCTAAAAGTGATGTGTCTAATGTTGGTTTTTTAAGCAGTGGAGTTACCCGAGCCTGCTTGAATGTTGTAGGGAAAATGCCAGTGTGGAGGGATGAGTTGATGATGTGTGTGAGTGCTGGTAGAAGTGTGGGAGAGATGGCTTGTAGAAGGTGTGAGGGGATGGGGTCTAGAGGGCAGGTGGTAGGATGACTGGAGAGGAGAAGTTTAGATACTTCTTCCTCGGTTAGCGGAGAGAAGGTAAAGAGAAGGTTTCTGGTAGTGGGAGAGGATGGTTTGGGTTCCTGTGTGTGTGGAGTTGAGAACTGACTGCTGATAGAGGTTGTTTTGTTGGTGAAGAAGTTAGCAAAGTCATCAGCAGTTAAAGAGGAGGTGGGTGATGGTGGAGGTGGACAGAGGAGAGAATTGAATGTCTTGAAAAGTGTTCGTGTGTTAGAGGCGCTGTTGATCTTGCTGTGGAAATATGAAGATTTTGCAGTGTGAACATCAGCAGAAAAGGAAGAGAGCAGAGATTGATACATACTCAGGTCAGACGTGTCTTTTGATTTGCGCCATTTCCTCTCCATTGCCCTGAGTTTGGTCCGGTGTTCACGAAGAACCTCAGATAACCAGGGGTTAGAGGGAGTAGCGCGTGCTGGCCTGGAGGAGAGAGGGCAGATATTGTCTAAAGAAGAAGTTAAAGTGTAGCATAAAGTATCTGTTGCGGTATTCACATCTAGAGATGAGAATTGTGAGGGTGAGGGAAGTGAAGATGACACAGCAGAGGAAAGATGGGAAGGAGAATGTGAGCGCAGGTTACGTCTGAAAGTAACTGGTAGGGGGGTTGGTGGAGCATGGGTAGTGAGCTGTAGATTGAATGTAATGAGGAAATGATCTGAAACATGGAGAGGTTTCACCAAAATGTTGTCTGTGATGCAGTTGCGTGTGTAAACCAGGTCCAGCTGGTTGCCTGATTTGTGAGTACCTGTGGTGATGAGCCGTTTGAGATCGAATGAGGCTAGAAGATAGATGAAGTCTGTTGCATACGCCTTTTCTAGATGAATGTTGAAATCACCAAAGACTACGAGTGGGGTGCCATCCTCAGGGAAAGAGGACAGCAGCACATCCAGCTCCTCAACAAAGCTTCCCAGTTGACCTGGGGGGCGATAAATAACTACAATATGGATCCTAATGGGAGTTGTAAGTGTAATTGCATGAAATTAAAACGAGTTGTTATTGCATAGAGAAGAGAGAGTTGAGTATATCCAGTTGTTAGAAATGAGAAGGCCAGTACCCCCACCCCTCCCTGACTGGCGAGGGGTGTGAGAGAAAGAGAAGTTGTTAGAGAGAGCAGCTGGGGTTGCTGAGTCTTCTGGACGGATCCAGGTCTCAGTCAAGCCCAATATATTAAGAGTAGAATAGGGCTGCAACTAACGATTATTTTGATAATCGATTAATCGGACGATTATTTTTTCGATTAATCGATTAATCGGATAAAAAATTCAATTAGATTTTTGTTTATTATGACTAAATAAAACCCGGTTACACTTTATTTTAAGGTGTCCTTGTTACAGTGTAATTATATATTTAAGTACAGAGTAATATTAAGTAACTACATGTACTTACTATAGGAATAGGGTAGGATTAGGTTGAGGGTTAGTTGCATGTAATTATGCATAATTTACTGTTATTACAACAGTAAGTACATGTAACATATGTAACAAGGACACCGTAAAATAAAGTGTTACCTAAAACCCTAAATTAGGATATTTATGTGTAAAAGTGTACTTTAAAAAGTGCAAAAGCCACACATTGAGTTTTACAAATATCAATATTTGCATTGTTTTTAATGATAATTGCTGATGGCAAGTTGACAACCATGATTATTGTAAAAAAAAAAAAAAAACATTTATCCAACATATTGTTTTAACACAATTTTTGTTAAAACAAATTTACAGACATGTTGTTCAGATGTGAAGATATAAACTAAAAACATCTCAAATATATAATTCATTTAATTTTTATTTAAAATTAATTGAATTATAAGGATAATTTGTAAAAAAAAAAATATATATATATATATATAGAAAGACTGAAAACAAGCGTGTAAACATAGAGCCGCAGTAGATCGCGTTTGAAAAACAATTAAAACTTAATAGTAGACAAATGCTATATAAAGAGAACGTAATGGAGGTACGCAGCAAGCTAACAGGCTTGATTAAAAAGACAGGAAAAATGATGCATTAGTGCACAAACATTCGCTGAAAACCACTGAGTACAGTGACTAAAAAAACATAATTTACTGCTGCTGTTATTAACTGCCTTTATATTTAGTGCTTCGCTTTGTAAAGACCGTTTTAATTTAATATTTCTGCGGTAGCACTATTTTAATCCATCACTTATGTTGCGAGCGAACTGATTGCGCAACCTGATGCTCGAGACGCAAAATACAGACATCCCAAGTCTCCCGGAAGTTCTGGAAGTCACCCGCATATTGATAGCGGCTCGCAAATTAGTTCAAACTCCCGGGATTTGAGCACGCAAGCAAGAGCGCGCATGCGAGACAGAAGAGACTGTGCTCCAAACCGTGTAGCGCGAGCGCGCGGCAGAGCAACGGAGGGAGAGAGACCTTGCGTGTGTGCCTCATGAAGCGCGTGTAAGACAGAGAGCATCCTGATTGGCCTGTTTCAACCAATCACCAGTAAACGCTCCCCGTGACGTAAGCAGACCAACTAATCGATAATGACATTCGTTGACAACGATTTTCATAATCGATTATTATCGATTTTATCGATTAGTTGTTGCAGCCCTAGAGTAGAATGAGATGCAAAGGCTGGAATGAAGTCAGCTTTATTTACTGCTGACTGACAATTCCATAGATCCATAGAAAGAGAGAGAGGTGTGTGTGTGGATGAGAGAATAGGACGCAGATTAGCAGTATTGCGCTGCCTTCTGTGCGTGATGAGTGCACGTTGTCGAGAGACAACAGGAATGTATTGAAAGCACATGTTGCGAAAGGGAAATACGATAGAAGTGGGAAAAGGAAAAGGAGAGAAGTCGATACTTAAGTGCCTTGCCGGAGTCCTTGCTCGGTGGAGTCGCACAGGTAGAGTCGATGGTCTTTACCCGAGTCGGTCTTCACACGAGGAGGCTGATACGCTTCCGCTGCCGCTTCCGCAACAGCGCGCGCACTACATAGATATAATGCGTACTTTAACGCCTGAGTGAGGACAGCTGTTTCTGCCCAGCAATTAACACAGCAAACGCAAATTACCCGAATAATGGGAGAAATCGAAACTAGCTGTTGGAAGGCGCTCACTTAAGTGCTATAAAATTTAAACAGCAATACTATTCAGAGCGGCTGTTATATAAAGTGGGAACGCGTCTAATTAAAATACAAATTTGTGAGAAGGCAAAAAAGAAAATAACCAGAAAATCGAAAACAACCTTACCTTGTGGTAGATACTACACTGAAACAACAAGAGAACTGGATATTCAGAAAAACGACTTGCGCGCTCTTGTCTTGTTCACGGCCTGACCGCTTGTCCTGGCCTTGTTCTGGATCACTGCGAGTTTATATCTGTTTTACAGTTGCTGTTTCTGCCCAGCAATTAACACAGCAAACGCAAATTACCCGAATAATGGGAGAAATCGAAACTTTCGAAATTTCGAATCGAAACTTTCCGCTTACCCCAGTAAAACCAGATCTAGCAGGTTTTTAGAAATGCAATGGTCCTTCCTAACCCCCCTTCCTGGGCTTTTGTTGTCCCCACACCTGTGAGGTCAAAAGGCTTTATAATACAGTGATCCCTCTGACCCCCTTGGGCTTTACTGTCTTCACATCTGTGAGGTCAAAAGGCTTTATAATACAGTGATCCCTCTGACCCCCTTGGGCTTTACTGTCTTCACATCTGTGAGGTCAAAAGGCTTTATAATACAGTGGTCCCTCTGACCCCCTTGGGCTTTACTGTCTTCACATCTGTGAGGTCAAAAGGCTGAATACCCCTTAGTCTTTCTGAAGAAAGTGAGCCTCCCACCCCCCTGGGCTTTACTGTCCTCATACCTGTGCGGTCAAAAGGCTGACAACCCTTAGTCTTTCCTGATTACCCATGCTAATGAATTCAGAGGCTCTGTCCGACCATTTGCTTATGTGTGTGTGTCTTTGTTCCTGTGGCCTTACAGGCATACATTCCATGGAGAAATACATGATTGAATTAAAAGAAAAATCCCCCATAATGTCTAAGAAAAAGAAAAAGTAAAATATAAAATTTCTACAACAGTGTGTATGTGTATGTATCCTTGTGTGTACGTATATATTTGTATTCATGTATTTCTCCGAAGTATTTGTATATGCAACCGGAAGATGTTTGTAAAAATAAGTTTGTGGTGTCTTGGCATGACACAGAAATAAATGTAACTATTCACTATTCTATGGTGCTTTAGTGACACACTTTACCCCTCGCTGCACCTTAACCTGAAGCAACTTTACCTAGTAAAGGCTGCCATTCTGGGAAACATCAATCATTTAATGAATGTAATTCTCTTAAGCTACATAATTTATATGGTTATTCAGCAACATCTATGACATTTATAACCTACCATTTATGGATCATGTTATATAAGGCAGAATCTATGCTTCAGGTGTCATGGCTAGTCCAGCCCAGATTGAGTGAGAGACGTGTAAAGATTGAATGCTGTGTGTGATTGCAGGACTGACTCCATACTGGCAGATCTGTCTGTACTTCCTGCTGGCGCTGCTGGTGTGGTTTAGCTTTTACAAGGTGTTCAAGTCCTTGAAGAGCATCTTCTACCCAAATGTTCATCTCCCGCATCACATTCAGGAGGTAAAAACATTTATACTCTTTGTTACATGCTTTGATATCACAAGGTTTCAATGACCTTTGACCAAATATGTGTCAGTTAGTTATGCATATATGAACTGTTTATCAAAATGCAGGGTAACACTTTATAATAACTGCAAGCTATTAAAGTGTAAAAGAGTAAAATTAGACGATCTAATGAAGGACTAATTAGACCATCTAATGAAGGACTATTAGACCATCTAATGAAGGACTGTTAGCCCATCTAATGAAAGACTATTAGACCATCTAATGAAGGACTATTAGCCCATCTAATGAAGGACTGTTAGCCCATCTAATGAAGGACTGTTAGCCCATCTAATGAAGGACTGTTAGCCCATCTAATGAAGGACTGTTAGCCCATCTAATGAAGGACTGTTAGCCCATCTAATGAAGGACTATTAGCCCATCTAATGAAGGACTGTTAGCCCATCTAATGAAAGACTATTAGCCCATCTAATGAAGGACTATTAGACCATCTAATGAAGGACTGTTAGCCCATCTAATGAAGGACTGTTAGCCTATCTAATGAAAGACTATTAGCCCCTCTAATGAAGGACTGTTAGCCCATCTAATGAAGGACTATTAGCCCATCTAATGAAGGACTGTTAGCCCATCTAATGAAGGACTGTTAGCCCATCTAATGAAGGACTGTTAGCCCATCTAAGGAAGGACTGCTAGCCCATCTAATGAAGGACTGTTAGCCCATCTAATGAAGGACTGTTAGCCCATCTAATGAAGGACTGTTAGCCTGAAGGACTATTAGATCATCTAATGAAGGACTATTAGACCATCAAATGAAGGACTGTTAGCCCATCTAATGAAGGACTATTAGCCCATCTAATGAAGGACTGTTAGCCCATCTAATGAAGGACTGTTAGCCTGAAGGACTGTTAGCCCATCTAATGAAGGACTGTTAGCCCATCTAATGAAGGACTATTAGACCATCTAATGAAGGACTGTTAGCCCATCTAATGAAGGACTGTTAGCCCATCTAATGAAGGACTGTTAGCCTGAAGGACTATTAGACCATCAAATGAAGGACTATTAGACCATCAAATGAAGGACTATTAGACCATCAAATGAAGGACTGTTAGCCCATCTAATGAAGGACTATTAGCCCATCTAATGAAGGACTGTTAGCCCATCTAATGAAGGACTGTTAGCCCATCTAATGAAGGACTATTAGACCATCTAATGAAGGACTGTTAGCCCATCTAATGAAGGACTGTTAGCCCATCTAATGATGGACTATTAGCCCATCTAATGAAGGACTGTTAGACCATCTAATGATGGACTATTAGCCCATCTAATGAAGGACTGTTAGACCATCTAATGAAGGACTATTAGACCATCTAATGAAGGACTATTAGACCATCTAATGAAGGACTGTTAGACCATCTAATGAAGGACTATTAGACCATCTAATGAAGGACTATTAGCCCATCTAATGAAGGACTGTTAGACCATCTAATGAAGGACTGTTAGCCCATCTAATGATGGACTATTAGCCCATCTAATGAAGGACTGTTAGACCATCTAATGATGGACTATTAGCCCATCTAATGAAGGACTGTTAGACCATCTAATGAAGGACTATTAGACCATCTAATGAAGGACTATTAGCCCATCTAATGAAGGACTATTAGACCATCTAATGAAGGACTGTTAGACCATCTAATGAAGGACTATTAGACCATCTAATGAAGGACTATTAGCCCATCTAATGAAGGACTGTTAGACCATCTAATGAAGGACTGTTAGACCATCTAATGAAGGACTGTTAGCCCATCTAATGAAGGACTATTAGACCATCTAATGAAGGACTATTAGCCCATCTAATGAAGGACTGTTAGACCATCTAATGAAGGACTCTTAGACCATCTAATGAAGGACTATTAGCCCATCTAATGAAGGACTGTTAGCCCATCTAATGAAGGACTGTTAGACCATCAAATGAAGGACTGTTAGACCATCTAATGAAGGACTATTAGCCCATCTAATGAAGGACTGTTAGACAATCAAATGAAGGACTGTTAGACCATCAAATGAAGGACTGTTAGACCATCTAATGAAGGACTATTAGCCCATCTAATGAAGGACTGTTAGACCATCTAATGAAGGACTGTTAGACCATCTAATGAAGGACTGTTAGACCATCTAATGAAGGACTGTTAGCCCATCTAATGAAGGACTGTTAGCCTGAAGGACTATTAGACCATCAAATGAAGGACTGTTAGCCCATCTAATGAAGGACTATTAGACCATCTAATGAAGGACTGTTAGACCATCTAATGAAGGACTGTTAGCCTGAAGGACTGTTAGCCCATCTAATGAAGGACTGTTAGCCCATCTAATGAAGGACTATTAGACCATCTAATGAAGGACTGTTAGACCATCTAATGAAGGACTATTAGCCCATCTAATGAAGGACTGTTAGCCCATCTAATGAAGGACTGTTAGCCTGAAGGACTATTAGACCATCAAATGAAGGACTATTAGACCATCAAATGAAGCACTATTAGACCATCAAATGAAGGACTGTTAGCCCATCTAATGAAGGACTATTAGCCCATCTAATGAAGGACTGTTAGCCCATCTAATGAAGGACTGTTAGCCCATCTAATGAAGGACTATTAGACCATCTAATGAAGGACTGTTAGCCCATCTAATGAAGGACTATTAGACCATCTAATGAAGGACTATTAGCCCATCTAATGAAGGACTGTTAGCCCATCTAATGAAGGACTGTTAGCCCATCTAATGAAGGACTGTTAGACCATCTAATGAAGGACTATTAGACCATCTAATGAAAGACTGTTAGCCCATCTAATAAAGGACTGTTAGCCCATCTAATGAAGGACTGTTAGCCCATCTAATAAAGGACTGTTAGCCCATCTAATGATGGACTATTAGCCCATCTAATGAAGGACTGTTAGACCATCTAATGAAGGACTGTTAGCCCATCTAATGATGGACTATTAGCCCATCTAATGAAGGACTGTTAGACCATCTAATGATGGACTATTAGCCCATCTAATGAAGGACTATTAGACCATCTAATGAAGGACTATTAGACCATCTAATGAAGGACTATTAGACCATCTAATGAAGGACTATTAGCCCATCTAATGAAGGACTATTAGACCATCTAATGAAGGACTGTTAGACCATCTAATGAAGGACTATTAGACCATCTAATGAAGGACTATTAGCCCATCTAATGAAGGACTGTTAGACCATCTAATGAAGGACTGTTAGACCATCTAATGAAGGACTGTTAGCCCATCTAATGAAGGACTATTAGACCATCTAATGAAGGACTATTAGCCCATCTAATGAAGGACTGTTAGCCCATCTAATGAAGGACTGTTAGCCCATCTAATGAAGGACTATTAGCCCATCTAATGAAGGACTCTTAGACCATCTAATGAAGGACTATTAGCCCATCTAATGAAGGACTGTTAGCCCATCTAATGAAGGACTATTAGACCATCTAATGAAGGACTATTAGCCCATCTAATGAAGGACTGTTAGACCATCAAATGAAGGACTGTTAGACCATCAAATGAAGGACTGTTAGACCATCTAATGAAGGACTATTAGCCCATCTAATGAAGGACTGTTAGACCATCTAATGAAGGACTGTTAGACCATCTAATGAAGGACTGTTAGACCATCTAATGAAGGACTGTTAGCCCATCTAATGAAGGACTGTTAGCCTGAAGGACTATTAGACCATCAAATGAAGGACTGTTAGCCCATCTAATGAAGGACTATTAGACCATCTAATGAAGGACTGTTAGACCATCTAATGAAGGACTGTTAGCCCATCTAATGAAGGACTGTTAGCCCATCTAATGAAGGACTGTTAGCCTGAAGGACTGTTAGCCCATCTAATGAAGGACTGTTAGCCCATCTAATGAAGGACTATTAGACCATCTAATGAAGGACTGTTAGACCATCTAATGAAGGACTGTTAGCCCATCTAATGAAGGACTGTTAGACCATCTAATGAAGGACTATTAGCCCATCTAATGAAGGACTGTTAGACCATCTAATGAAGGACTGTTAGACCATCTAATGAAGGACTGTTAGACCATCTAATGAAGGACTGTTAGCCCATCTAATGAAGGACTGTTAGCCTGAAGGACTATTAGACCATCAAATGAAGGACTATTAGACCATCAAATGAAGCACTATTAGACCATCAAATGAAGGACTGTTAGCCCATCTAATGAAGGACTATTAGCCCATCTAATGAAGGACTGTTAGCCCATCTAATGAAGGACTGTTAGCCCATCTAATGAAGGACTATTAGACCATCTAATGAAGGACTGTTAGCCCATCTAATGAAGGACTATTAGACCATCTAATGAAGGACTATTAGCCCATCGAATGAAGGACTGTTAGCCCATCTAATGAAGGACTATTGGCCCATCTAATGAAGGACTGTTAGACCATCTAATGAAGGACTATTAGACCATCTAATGAAGGACTGTTAGCCCATCTAATAAAGGACTGTTAGCCCATCTAATGAAGGACTGTTAGCCCATCTAATGAAGGACTGTTAGACCATCTAATGAAGGACTATTAGACCATCTAATGAAGGACTATTAGACCATCTAATGAAGGACTATTAGACCATCTAATGAAGGACTATTAGCCCATCTAATGAAGGACTATTAGACCATCTAATGAAGGACTGTTAGACCATCTAATGAAGGACTATTAGACCATCTAATGAAGGACTATTAGCCCATCTAATGAAGGACTGTTAGACCATCTAATGAAGGACTGTTAGACCATCTAATGAAGGACTGTTAGCCCATCTAATGAAGGACTATTAGACCATCTAATGAAGGACTATTAGCCCATCTAATGAAGGACTGTTAGCCCAT